TGAAATAAGCCAGTCACAGGAGGACGAATACTATAAGATTCCACTTAGAGGTCCCTAAAAGAGTCAAATTCAGAAACAAAGTAGAATGGTGGGAGTTGGAGAAGGAGGAATGGAAAATTAGTTTTAAATGGAGACAGAGTTTCAGTTTGGAAAGATGAGAAAGTTCTGAAGATGAATAGTGGAGATGGTTGCACAAAAATGTACTTAACACACTAAAATGTGAATGTACTTAACACACTAAAACTGTACACTTAAAAACAGAAAATTGTATGTTATATGTATTTTACCACAATTTTTAAAAAGGCATGGTTTAACCAGGGAGCAACTCTGCCCCACTATTTCCTAGGTGTGTTTCTGATTTGGTTGACCCAAGGACATCCTGAGTTTAAATTCTAGCTCTCGGGCAGGCAGAGTGGCTTAGTTGTTTAAGGGCTCACTTGGGAGCGCCCCTCTGAGCAGCAGGGCTGCGGTTCGGATCCCACATTGAGGGCCAGTGGCGGCTCACCCTCGACAGCTAAGATGATGAACAACAACTTGACATGGAGCTGGGCTGCCGTGAGTCGCCGGCGACGGCACAGGCTGCAGCGGGGCTGCAGTGGGCTGCCATGAGCTACGTGAGTGGCTGGCAGCCATCTTGCACCGCCGGCAGCCTGTGTGAGCTGCAGGGAGCTGCTGTGAGTGGCCGACCAATGACCGGCGATTGATTGCCTCACCCGGGAAGAGCACAATGATCATACCAACATGGGCCAGTGAAGCGATGTCCTCCACAACTAGACTGAAGAACAAAAACAGCAATTTGTCTACCTGTCTGTTCCCCTTCCCCGATTCCCCAATTAAAAAAAATCTTTAAAAAATAAAAAATAAATAAATAAATTCTAGCTCTGCCCCAACTGGCTATGTGACTTTGGGCAAGTTACATAACATTTCTGAATCTCAGATTCTGCATGTAAAATGTTAAAGAGAAAACCACAGGCCCAAAATGATGTCACACATGCTAAAAGCCCAAACCTAGATTTAACACTTGATCTGAGTTTCAGCCTCTCCCAGAAATGTAATCTGAAGCAACCAGTCTGGAATCTTCTGGTCAAGCACCAGTAAGGTAATTTGTCATATGGTCCCTCTCCATCCCGCATAGAATAAGAGGCAATCTGTGGTAAAAAAACAAAACAAAACACACACACACACACACACAAAAACACTTTTCTTTTTGTTCCCCCAAAGAAAAGATGTCCCAGCCCAAAAATAATCCTATCTTTTGTCAATATCCCATGCTCCACCCTTCTTCCTATAAAAACCTTCCATTTTGTACATCCCACTCAAAGCACCCTTCTACTTGCTTGATGGGATGCTACCTGATTCACAAATCGATTAATAAAGCCAATTAGATCTTTGAATTTACTTAGTTGAATTTTTTTAACAAAAATATTGAATATTTTCCCCTGTGCTTAAGGGAGCATGTGAGTAGAGACCCCAATGAGATGAACCCCTGATACATCCTACTGTAAGCCTTGTCCTACATCACTGGATCACACCTGGAAGTAATTGTGCCCCCAGGGGACACTGGGGATATCTGGGGAAATCTCTAGTTGTCATAACTGGGATGTTCCTGGCGTGGAGTGGATGGAGACCAGGGACACTGCTCAGCACCCCTTGGTGCCCAGAACGACCCCCCACAGAGAATGAGCCTGCACTGAATGTCCACAGTGCCAAGGTTGAGAAAAACCTCATATGTGATTATTTTTAAAAATAATACGCTCTAAACTTTTAGAATGTGGATGGTATTCATCTATCCAACATGTATTTAGTGAGCATCTCCTGTCTTTCAGACGTTGACTGAGGTGCTGGGGACACAGGACAAGCATCTCTATCCTGGTAGGGCAGACAATAAAGAAATGAGTAAAGTACATATGTCAGATGGTGAGAAGTGCTGTGGAGGGAAATGAAATAGGATTACGGGAATGAGACTACCAGGGTCAGATGGTAGTAAGTATTATATATGTATAACAAGATATCAGAACAGAGACTTGAAGCTGCTAAGGGAGGGAGCAATGTGGGTGTCCAGGGGAAGGGCATTCCAGGTGGGAGGGACAGCATGGGGTAGGGGCATACCTGGAGTGTTAGAGGAACAGGAAAGAAGCCCCTGTGGTTGCAACAGAGTGTTGAGGCGGGGAGGGAAACAGGTACAGGTCTTGCAGGACCTTATGGGCCTCCTGGAGGACTTGGGCTTTTACCCAGAGGGAGATGGGTGCCCTGGAGGGCTGCAGGCAGAGGGGCAGGATCTGACTCAGGTGCTCACAGGCGCCCTCTGGTGGCCATTTATAGGAGGACAGCCTGTAGGGGGCCAGGGCAGAGGGGACTGTGCTGGTCCAAGCAGGAGAGATAATGGGGGGTGGACCCAGGCCCTCATGGAGGGCGTGAGAAGTGGGCAGATTCAGGATAGATTTGGATGATGGAGCAGACAGTTTTGGCTGACATATTGAATGTGAAAAATGAGAGGAGTCCAGGTTGACTTCAGATTTTGGCCCAGTGAAGTGGAAGGGTGGAGCTTCCATCAGCTGAGAAGGGAGAAGGCAAAAGGAGCAGATTGGTTGTCAACTAAGATTTGATTTATATGTGGTTAACAGTGTGGGGAGTGGAGTCGATGGAATTGTGATAGATATGTATGATATCGGGGGAGGGGGTGGTTAATTGGGGAAGGGGAGTGGTCACTTTGCAAGGGGTAAAAAGTTATACCTATTGCATTGTTTTGTACACCCAAAACTGATTAAAAAAAAAGACCAGATTGGGTGGGGAAAACGGAAAGTTTAGCGTGAGCGTGGTGTGTGTGAGACACCATGAGATCTCGCGTGCAGACTCAAGGATAGCTGGTTAGTGAGTCCAGAGCTCAGGCGTACACCAGGGGCTGGAGGTGTTGATTTCTCATTCATGTTAGGGTTGCAGGAGATAGAACACATGTTGCAGAATTCCATTTATATGAAATGTGCAGAACACGCAAATCCATAGAGACAGAGAGTGGATTCGTGGTTGCCAGGAGCTGGGGGAGGGGGTTAGTGAGTGACTGCTAAGGGGGACAGCGGTTTCTTCCTGGGGTGAAATGTTTTAAAATTAAAATGTTTTAAAATTAAAATTATATCAAAATTTTTTGTTATTGTACACTTAAACTTCTTGGCTCTGTCCATTTCTCTCCATTCCCTCTGCCTTCCACCCCTTTACCCAGGTCCAGGACCCCATCATCACTTGCCTGGGCTACACAAATCCTTACCCCATGTGCTGGTTAACTTTATGTATCCACCTGGCTAGGCCATGGTGCTAGATATTTAGTCAAACTTTATTCTGGATGTTTCTATGAAGATGTTTTTACATGAGATTGATATTTAAATTGGTGGGCTGTTAAGTAAAACAGATTACTGTCCAAAATGTGGGTGGGCCTCATCCAATCAGTTGAAGGCCACAACAGAACAAAAAGACTGATCTTTTTTTTTAAAGATTTGATTGGGGAATTGGGGGAGGGGAACAGCATTGGGGAATCAGGGAAGGGGAACAGAAAAGCTGCTGTCCTTTTGTTCTTCAGTCTAGTTGTAGGGGACGTAGCTTCATTGGCCCATGTTGGTATTATCATTGCGCTCTTCCCGGGTGAGGCAGTCGCTTGCCAACCATTGGACGGCCACTCACAGCTACTCACAGAGGCTCACGCAAGCTCACACCCACTACCGACCAGCCCCACTGCAGCCTACGCGGTTGCCAGCAACTCATGGCAGCCCAGCTCCAAAATGAACTGTTGTTTACCATCGTAGCTGTAGAGGGCACAGCATCACTGGCCCTCATGTGGGATCCGAACCAGGGCCCTCCTTCTCAGAGCTGGCGTCTCAAGCTAACTCCTAACCAATGCACCACTCGGCAGGCCCAAGACTGACCTCTGTGAGTAAGAAGGAATTCTGCCAGCAGATGGCCTTTGGACTTGAACTGCCACTTCAGCTCTTCTCTGGGTCTGCATATTCAGGCGCTTATCTGTTTATACACTTGTGTCCTTGGAAAGTCACTTAACCACTCAGACCTCACTTTTCTCATCTGTAAATTGGAACACTTAACAGTACCTATTCCATGGGATTGACTGGTGTGAGGGTGAAATAATACATTAAGTGCTTAAAACAGTGCTTGACACTTAGTATTAGCTAGTATTACCATTATCACCATTATTGTTATTTCCTAGGGAAGTGGAATTGGTGGGTTAAAGGTTAATTGACATTCTTTTTTCCAGAAGGCAATCAACCCAGCCATTTTCCACAATGGCTCCTTTAAATGTTCTCAGCTTCTCCTTTTCATTATTTAAAAAAGAAAAACTAATCACCTGGAACAGGTAGAAAGTTTGAGCTCCACTGTGGGGGGGGGGTTGAGGGGGGAGGAGGCACTTGGGAGCCACGGAAAGCTCTAAAGCTGGGGGAGGTTCCAGTTAGTGCAGATTCCAAAGGTTTATTGGGGATAAGGAGGCGGAACTAGCGGGTTGGGGGAGGGGATCGCCCGCAGGAGTCAGCGATGCTGGAGCTCCAGGGAATGGGGGAAGAGAGTCCAGCTTGTCAAGACCCGAGGCCAGACACTGGGGTGCAGAGCCCGCTCCCCGTCTGCCGCGCCAGGACCCGGATGTGCAGCGCGCGAAGCTCTCGGCCCGCGGAGGCTGCGTCGCGCTGCGCTATAAGGCGCCGCATTGCATGCATTGGTGGCCACTACGCTGGGGTGATCGTCTCCTCCCCGACACCGCCTGCGGGGCGTCCGGGCACGCACCTGGAGACCGCCTCACATGGGAGGCCTTGGCACCTGGCTGCATTGTAGTCGCCATCCCCCATCCTCCCCAGACTAGACCCGGCACCCGCCCCCACCTGTGCGGGGCTCGTGCCCCTTTAAGAAGCCAGACGCCGCCAAGGGTGGGAGTGGTTGTTGCGAGTGAAGGGGGAGGAGATGGTGTTGGGCCGTCCTGATTGGCCCGAGGCCCGGGCGGCAGCCACGCGCGCCTGCGCAGCGCGCAGTAGCCCTCGCCGTCGGGGGAAGGAGGGCGCGTGGGTGCTAATTGGCCGCGGCGGCGGCCCCGTCTCCGAGTGGCGTGCGGTCACGTGACGCGACGGCTGGGGGCTCCCGGCGCGGGGGACGCTGGTGGCCAAGATGGCGGCGGAGCTGGTGGAGGCCAAAGTGAGTGAGCCGCGGCGGCGCCGACCCGGGCGGGCGGGCGAGGGGTCGGGGGCCAGGCGGCCGGCCGAGGTCTGCGCCTTCCGCCTGGGGCCTCACGGCGCAGCCCGCCCGTGGTTCGCCGCCGGGTCCCTTCGCCTGCCCCTGGGGCTCCGAGTGCGGGGGGCGGGGAGGCCGGGGGCGGGGTCCCCAAACCTCAGCCCAGTGTTTGCGCCGGGGGTTGGCCCCCGGACTTGAGGCGGGGTTTCCCCTACCAGCCTGAGCAGTTAGGGTCTGAATCTCCCTAAACACGGGTACAGGGTCGAGCTTCCCAGCTTGAGAAACAGTCCTCTCGGACAGCATGGTGGGCTGGGCTGGTCGTCTCCTCCCGAGCCGGGGTCTGTGCTCTTTGGCCTGGGGGAGTGTCTTCGCCTCCCTACTCCCCATGGCACAGCGGGCTGGCATCTGGGTCTCTGGGTCTCCGCCTCTCCGCTAGCAGGTCAGGCTGCGGTTGGCGACTGCCTCCTCAGAAGGGTTCCCTGATCCTTCTGCCACCGCTTCCACAATCCGAAGTGATGAACCAGGGTCCTGAACCGCCCCCAAACGTAGAGTTCTCTTGGGGTCTGTACCCCAGGCTGGAGTTTGGGGCCCCAGTTGGGCTCCCGCGTTGGTCCCAGAGCCCCGCCCCCTCCGAACACCCTCCCTCTCACCCCCAGAGTGGGCACGGTGTTAATTGAGCTTGCTCTTCCCCCCCCTGGGATGGCGCCCTGACCTCTGTTCTCGGTCCAGAGCTTTCCTGACTCCCTTCTCTCAGTCTTGACTCAGAACAGCATCTGTGAGGCTTTGGACTGCTACTGGGGGCTCTAAACCCTACACTTGCAGTATCAGTCCTATTTCCAAACCTTAGCGGCTTCCCTATACTTCATAGTAAGTCTATTTCTCAAATCAGAGCCCTTCCCACACAGCCCCCAGAACCCCTACTTTAGGTCCATTTATGCACCCAGTTCTGGCTTTTGAACCCCCTCCCCCTCCTTCTGCTGGTCTTTGTTGATCCTCGGAGAGTCCCAGCTGGTTCCAAGGTAGGTCTCTTTTTGTAGAGTAGCTCCTGTTGCCTCCCTATATTCCAGTTTGGGATCCAGGTTCTACATCCCATAGATGTCATCCCCTCTTTAGGCTTGGGGCTCCTTTTAACTCTCTTGGGACTGAGCTGGAGCATTCCCATCCCAGGGATGTACCTTTTCACAGATACCTCCCGCAGCTCAGACTCCAGAACCTTTGCCTAAACTAGACTAGGGTTCTCCTCTTCTTCCCCTCACAGAACAGAGGCACCGCCCCCCTCCCCCCTTCTGGTCTCCCCTCCCCAAGGTCCTGACCTGTAAACGTTTTCTTTCTCTGGCTCTTCCCGCTCCTTACATCTCCCTTCCCTTACCACTGGGACCTGAAATGCAGCCTTCTAGGTTCTGTGGTTATAGGATGTTACCCTCCCTTCGCCCCAGAGTGCTCTCTCCCCCATACCTACACCACACACACTCGGAGCCTTTCCTAGGGTTTGGAGAAATTGAGACTTGCCCTAGTGATGTGGAAGTCTGGACTCTGGAAGCTCAAGGTGGCAGCCTGCCGGCCTGAAGTCCCTGGAGCCCTGAAATTTAAGCTCCTCCTGGGGCCATCACTGTGATTATGGGTCCCTGCCCCCACCCCAGCCAGAGGGTAGGGTCTGAAGTCTTTTTTTTTTTTAACCTTCCAAGGCCTTGAAATATGATCTGATGAACTCTACTTGACCCTCCGGTGGCTGCCCCCCCCATTAAATCGAACTCCACTTGACCCTCCGGTGGCTGCCCCCCCCCCCATTAAATCAAGTGGACCCTTTTTGCAAATTCTCTAAACTGGGAGCCAAGCTTCCTTTTAGGAGAGCTTGAGACTTCACCACTTGCTCCATCGGATCCTTCTTTTTCCTTCAGTCTCTTGCTGTCAACCGTGGAGTGCTTGCCATGTAATTGAAATGTCTCTCTCTTTTATGCACTTTCCCATCCTCTCATATCTCATAAGAGATTTTTCTTTTGGGGTGCAAAGTAGCCTGATGGGGGGGGATGAGGGAGGCTTGTTGATAAACTTGGAAAACTGGGACCCTTAACTGGAGGCCCCTGAGAGGGGTTGGGGAGAAGGGGTTGGCCTGTGAACTCGTAAGATACTGTGTAGCATTTTGTAGCAATGTCCTATTTCCTGGAGAGAGGGGCCTTAACTTTTGTCTATGCTACAGCTAGAGACAGGTTAAATTAAGCTAAACTAAGCCCAGCTCCTCTATCAAAGTTGATGCTACTCTATCCAGGCTGATGTCTCTCTATCCCGCTCCAGTGCAATGCTGGAAGTCGTTGGGACCTGGTGCTGTTTATAAACACAGATCTGAGGGGCAGGTGGGTCAGGATGAAGCCTCAGCAGGAGGAAGTGATCTGAGCGCTTGGGGTTTCTTCCTGAATACTTGTGCCTCCCTCACCTCCCTTCCCCTGTCAGGAGCAGGCTCTTCGGTGGTGGCAGCTGCTGAGAAATCTAAGTCGTGAACATATGGCAGCTTGAGGGGTGTGCCCCAGGACGCTGGTGTAGCAGCTTGGGATGTCCAGCCTGGTGGACAGGGCTAGGTGGGGGAAGGGGGATCCCGGGGGTAGGATGATGTCAGGAGATGTGCTGTGGTCAGACTCAGAAAGGCTGAGCCCACCTATCTTTGTCTCCATGGCGTGTGGTCAGCTATCACGACAGCGTCTCTTCCTTCCCAGGCCTTGGGCCTCTTCCAGAAGAAACATCTTGTGTGCAAGTCTTTTTTCTCTGCTCAAGGTAGGAAGTCAGGCCGAGGGAGGTGAAGCCTCTATGTTTTCAAAGCATTCCAGACTCTCTGAGGGCTAGCAGACTACTTAGGTCCCTAGGCAGGGGGTGTACTGAAGAGAGAGAGAGAGTCCTCCGGGCCCCCAGGCAGCTGTATATGTAAGTGGAAGGAAATGCCCTTAGGAGCCTGATGGACCCAGGTCCAAATGCCAGCCCTGCTACTGACATACAGGGAAGCCTTAGGCCAGCCATTTCCCTCTCAGGGCCTCAGTTTTCTTACCTGCATAATGGGCACAGGTACTTGCAAGATCTGTGACGGTGCAATGCCCTTGTGGTGCTTGGCACATGGTAAACACTCTGTAGTGCAGGAGTAGGAGGAAGACCCTGCAGCAGGAAAAGGCTCCCCCTTGAGGTTTTGTAGGCAGGACTGGACAGTCCCTTCTGCCATCAGCAGGAGCCTGGTGTTGTACAGTTGGAAGGAATCTTAGCACCCATCTTGCTCCGGCAGATGAGGAGCCCCAAAGTGCAGAGAGGCCTCACAGTGGGTCTGGTGTCACCTGGGAACCTAGGGCAGAATTTGGATTTGAACCCAGATCCTCCCGAACCCAGGGGCTGCTGTCAGACTCCACGCCTCACCGTTAAACAGCCAGGAAACGGGAAACACCAGAGCCTCCTGGCATTGAAGCTGCTACATAAACCCTGGAAGGGTTCCCACCCACCTCTGACTGTCAGAATTTCTCAAGCTGAGTTTAAGCGATTTGTTGGTTTTGTTGGGTGCTGTCCTGCCCCACACTCGCCAGCTTTCTATTGCCACTCTTGTCATTTGTACTGTTTTTTTCCCATTTCCCCTGGAAGTGTCTTTTCCACCACATTTCATTCATCACAGGCCAGCTTCAGGGCTCAGTGTGGGTGGCCCCAAAACCCTGCTGACCCATCCCTCAAGGACACTTTACTTATGAAGCACATTGGGGAACCCTCACTCCCCTTGGTGTCCTAGAGTCTCACAGAAGGCAGGCCACCGCCAGGCAGCCCCAAAGAAAACATAGGGATCAACTGAGCTCTTGTGTTTGGTTTGATTTAGTTGGAGGGACCCTGCCAGACCTCATTCATCACTTTGCCACAACTCAATTAACAGCCTCTCCAGCTGTCGGATTCCCAGAGCCTTCCCCTCAGACCCGTGCTTCTTAATCGGGGCTGATGCTGCCCCCAAGGGACATGGGGGGGGATGTCTGGGGGACATTTGTGACTGTCACGACTGGGATTTGGTCCCAGTCTTCTGGCATTAAGTGGGTGGGGGCCAGGGATGCTGCTCAACACCCCACAGTGCCCAGGACAGACCCTCCACACAAAAATTGATCCAGCTCCCATGTCCACAGTGCCCAGGTGGAGAAAGTCTGCTGGAATGGTCAGCAGACATTTTGATGGCCTCCATAGTGCTCAGCTCTAGGTCGATGCCAAGGGCAGCATAGTAAAGAGGAACCACCCTGGCTTCAGATTCAGGCCTGGGTTTAAATGTTAGCTGTAACATGGAGCTCCCACCACCCAGACAGGCGTGTTTTAAGGGTCAGAGTAAAGTGTATAATCACACATCCAGCTTGGTTGTCGGCAGATGATTTGTATTAAGTAAGTTGTGGCTACCTTCTCTAGACCAGGGGTCAGCAAACTTTTGAGACGGAAGAGCTGCCAGGGGTCGGCAAACTGCGGCTTGCAAGCCACATGCGGCTCTTTGGGTACATACATGTGGCTCGAAGTAAAATTAAAAATGAAAATAAAACTATCATAGTTTCATTTATAGTATTACTTTAAATTTTCCTTATTCATAAAAATATATTTATGGTTCTCGAATAATTTTTAAATTGTTGTGAGGGACAGGATTGGCTCTTCCAGGGGTCGGCAAATTTTTGAGACGAAAGGTACCCAAAGATCTGCATGTGGCTCGCAAACTGCAGTTTGCTGACCCCTGCGTCTAGACTGAAGGGAAAACGTCTGTGGCTGACGTTGGTTGAGCACTCACTCTGCTTTACATGAGTTACCTCATCTGGTCCTTCCCATGTCCCAATGAGGTAGATCCTGTCATCTGCCCCATGAAGAGACTGAGGGAGGGTCAGAGAGGCCATTAGTGTTCTCTGTTAGGGAGTGGCTGAAGTTGTATGTGGGTAAAGCAAGATTCCCAGTTCCTGCTCTGGGAATGCTTTCAGGCTTGAAGATGGGAAAATAGAACCTAAAATAGAAGGCGGGGGTTGGGAGCTGTACTGTAGTCAGAGGAGCTTTTGCTGCATTGGTGATGCTGAGGAAGGTTGGAGAAGGAGGAGGAGGAGGGTAGCCAGGCTGAGCTGGGAGGGGGCATCACACAAAAGGTGAGCTGGCAGTGGAGGCGGGACCAATCCCGGGCCAGTGGGACTGATGCTGAAGCTATGTTCTCCCGGGTTTCCACCCCCACCAGCCAGGATGAAGGGTGCTTCAGGGTGGGATTGGGTGGTGGTGGTGGCAGATGGGGTCTCATTTCACTGTTCCCCCGGTCTGGGTCCAGGCAGCTTCAGGGAAGCTCCACACCCCATTGGCAGCCTCTCTCTCTCAGCACGTGTGTCTGTGGTTGCTCTTCACAGAACATGGTGATGAGTTTCCGAGTCTCCGATCTTCAGATGCTCTTGGGTTTCGTCGGCCGGAGTAAGAGCGGACTTAAACACGAACTTGTCACCCGGGCCCTCCAGCTCGTCCAGTTTGACTGTAGCCCTGAGCTGTTCAAGAAGATCAAGGAGCTCTACGAGACGCGCTACGCCAAGAAGAGCTCGGAGCCTGTCCCCCAGCCCCACCGGCCCCTGGACCCCCTGACCATGCACTCGACCTATGATCGGGCCGGCACGGTGCCCAGGACTCCTCTCACAGGCCCCAACATTGACTACCCAGTGCTCTATGGGAAGTACTTAAATGGACTCGGACGGTTGCCCGCCAAGACCCTCAAGCCGGAGGTGCGCCTAGTGAAGCTGCCCTTCTTTAACATGCTGGATGAACTGCTGAAGCCCACTGAGCTGGGTGAGTCCACCGCCTTTCCCGGGGGCCCCACCTTCCAAGTTTTGCTCCTGCCTATGGCTGGCCATGCTACTGACCCGGAACACTTTCGGGGAGCAGCAAGGTCCCAGAGGTGGCGGAGGTCTTATCCCTCCCAGAAACCACAGGGGCCACCCATGGGTCTTTAGCTTAGTGACCTAGTGCCATGTAATAAATTGCCCCAAATCCCAGCAGCATAAAACATCTGAGGGTCTCAGTTTCCAAGGATCACAACTCTGGAATGGCCTAGCTGGGTGGTTCTGACTCAGGGTTCCTCATAAGATTTCAGTCAAGGTGTCTGCCGAGGCTGCCTCATCTGAAGGCTCAACTGGGGCTGGAGGGGTTGCTTACTCATGTGGTCGCTGTCGGCCAGAAACCCCAGTTCTTACCACGTGGGCCTCCATAGATTACTTGAGTGTTCTCACAGTGTGGCTGTGTGGCTCACTTTCCCTGGAACCAGTGACTGGGGTGGGGTGCATGTGTGAATGTACTACAACCCAGCTGGAAGCCTTCGGCCGTTTTATAACCTGAGCTTGGAAGTGGCATATCTTTGGTTTCACCATATTCCATTGGTTACACAGACCATATCTGGCACAGTGTGGCAGGGGCTACACCAGGCTGGACCACCAAGAAGGAGGCTTACGGGGGCTACCTGAGAGGCTGGCTTTTGTGCTGTCACTCCCTGGGGCAAAGGGGCTAGAAGTTGGATCTCACTTTCCCTCTTCCCCCCCACAAAAGACTCATTTCCTAGTAGGAGACTCTCAAGAGTAACCTTTGTTAACGGGTTCAGACCAGTCCATGTGGGCCACTGGACAGGTCTACAGGAGATAATGACAGGGCTCTGTACTCATTTCTCTGTCCCCCATGTTCATTGAGTGCCTGCTATGTGATGGGCCTTTGTAGTACTTGGCCCTCTCTGGCAGTCTTGATGACAGGGCTGGGGGGTGAGTGTCAGCTTGGTGTCAGCCTCAGATGCAGCCCAAGCTCAAGCTGGAGAAGGCTGACCAGCCCCAGCTTCTTGGGCCTCCAAGGCTCTAAGTGGAATGCCATAGGCCTCTTGTTAGCACTCAGATTGTCCCTGAGTTCCTGGAGACCCCTCCCATTGTCTCCCTGTCTCTTAAATCTCCCTTCCCCCATTTATTTGTTCAATTTATTCTTTCACTCACTCGTTCATGTACATAGTACATACTTGAGTGCCTGCTGGATAGGAGCCCCCGACCCTGGGACCCAGCAGAGAGCAACCAAAGCCCCCAACTGCCCTGTAGAGGTTTCCTTCGCAGGGTGCCCCAGCCTGTACCTCCACTGTGGGTCCTGCCACCACCTGCATCCCAGCATCCGCATCTTCTGCTCAACCCCACCCCCCCCACACACATTTTTATCCAGCCCCTGCTGCGTGTCGGGCTCGGGCCCTGGTCATGAGTTGGTCCTTGCCTGCTGTAGCAGAGGTCACTGTCCCTCTACGCTCCCACCCATCGTTCCCCTGACTGTGCTGTTCACTCCCTCCCATCCTGCTGACCCAGCGTCCTGCCTTACTCGGCCAGGGGGCCCCTCATTGCATACAGACTTCAGCTTCAGCCCTGTGCCAGCTGGCCCCCCTCTGTCCTGCCTTAGGTAGGAGGAGAGCAGGAGGAGGTGCAGCTGCCTCTCTCCTCCTACCTATAGCCCTTGGACTTTGTGAAGTTGGGCCGAAGGGGCTGTGGTTCTAGGGGAGACTGCAGGAGGTGGAGGAAGGAGTTGCTGGTGGTCCCGGCCCTAGAATCTGAGGCCCTCCACTCCTTTCTCTCTGGCATGAGGAGTTGTTTCTTGCCAGCACCCATGTGGGGAGCAAGTTGGCCCAGTAGCACCTGTCGTGGGGTTGATCTGGCAGTACTGGAGACCAACACCCTTTCCTGAGTTCCTCCAGCATGATTTCCCCCATCTCTGCTTCCCCAACCTCTGTCTAGGTACTGGAACCCATCTCCCGCCACACCATTGAATTCTCCAGGAGGCTTTGGGGAGGGGGGTGGGCTTCAGAACTGGCTGCCTAGCTGGTTCTGAAGGTCAAGCTGATGGTTCAGACTCCAAAATGATCTTCGTAACAGGGAGGCCAAGTTTTCACTGGGAAGCCACCGAGCAGGCTTGTCACTGGGCGGGGAACGGGACTGGAGGTGACTTTGAACTCAGGGCCAGCAGGCGGCCTCCCCTCCCCTGCCTGGACCATGGGTTTCCTTCCTGCACGGTAAGCATGCAGTTGCTCTCGCCCCACAATGCATCGCTTTGCCCTGAGCCCCCAGGGACCCCGGTCACCTGATCTCCGGCAGTCTGCTCCCCTGTCTACACCAGGCATTACTCTGCTGGCAGCTCAGAACAAAGAGGCCGACCCCGCCCTGCCCCCACTCCCATCCACTTGTCGCCCCTGTGCCAGGGTGTACCCCTTCCCTGGGACTCCCATTCTTTCGGGGACCCCTGAGGGCTGCCTGGCTTTCTAGGAAGAGGCCTCACCAAGCACAGGCCCTGACCCTGAAGCAGTCTGGCCCCCTCCATTCCAGGACCAGCGCTTCTATCTGCCCACCTTGAACCCTGGGTACCTTCTCACATGAGTTCTGTGAATTCTGCTGCACTGGCCTTGCCCAAGAGCCGCCTCAGGAGGCTGTGGCTCAGCCAGCTTCCCCTTCCCCCTTGCCATGACCTGCTGACCACAATGAGGCCCAGACACTCTGGTCTGTTCCCCCCAGAAGAGCCGCTGGCTGGCTCTCAGATGGAGCCTGCGCCAGGAGGACAGGAGACATAAATCACACGGTGTGGAATGTTCGGGTGGGGGAGGGGAGGGGACTAATAGAGCCACAGACCGGAGCTGGAAGGACCTTAGGAGACAGATGATCTGCTCCAGTGAGGTGGGGGCTGGTGTCCAGAAAGGTCAGGAGACTGGCCCAAGGTCACACAGCATCCTGAGGAGGAGGCTCCAGGGCCACATGCTCAGCCATCGTCCCAATTCTGACCTCTCCCTGCATCATGGGTGCCTATACTCCTGCAGGAGACACCTGTTCTCAACCACACAAAGGTTCTGGACCGCCTTTCCGCATGAGGAGCCTGGCTGTCCTCCCCTTTCCAGCCAGGACAGGGGCTGGCGGTCAGGCGTGCCCGGGGCAGGGGTACTTGCTTCCAGACTGCAGCAGAGTTCAGTGGGGCCAGGAACATGGTCCTGGGTCAGGCTGCTTCAGCTTGGGGCTCACTGGGCATCTTACAGTCTGAGGGTCCCTCCAGCCCAGCCACTCGGGGTATCAGTGGCCAGAGTCTTGAATAGGGGGGCCTCCTCGTCAGTGTTGGAGAGAGGAGTGGCCATCATGAGAGTTGCGGGTGGAAGGAAGGAAACATGTTGACCTGGTGCAGTGCTGCTTCGAGAGGCTTCCCAGCATCCTGTGGTCAGGGCCTTGTGGTGTGGGGCTACTCAGCCTGCCCCTGCTGCCACCCTGTGTCCTGACAACTCCCGACGCCCCCCACTTCATGTGCTTCCTAGAGGTGGTCCTCACCGAGGTGATTGAGAGCTGCTGGTCTAGCGCCTGCCATGTCGTTTAGTTCACACGGATGTGCTTTATCCAGTCTCTGAACCCTTTGGCTGGCATTGCCTAAGCAACAAGCAAGGTAGTGGGATCACTAACCTGGCACATTTTGCCAGGAAGCTGCACTAGAGGTGATTAAACAGAGCCAGGTGAGGAATACTCAGATTGCAGAATGCAGGTTTTTAGGAGATTGTCAGTACCAGGAGCCCCTTATTGTGTGTTTGTGGGGAGGCTGCAGTCAGGAAAGCTTCCTGGAGGAGGCGGCATTCCCATCCAGACCTGAGGGTTGAGAAGCAATAAACCTGACAAAGAGGAGGGAGAGAGGGAGTGTGTTGTAGCCAGAGGCCCAGCAGTGAGAGAGGGCTTGTGAATGGAGGCCATTGTGACCAAAGTGTGGTGTGGCACGGGGGAGGGAGGGAGAGCAGAAGCCAGAAAATGTGGGAAGAGTGGGGACTGACTGGACTGTCCCAAGGGCTTTGGAGTCGCTGAAGGTCCTGTGAGCTTTTCCAGATCTTGTTTTCTCAAGTCCTTTCTGAGGCAGGTGTGATCCCTCAGGTGTAGCAGCCTGCCTGCTGTCCCCCAGCCAGGTGGGGTGCACACCCAGGCCCATCCCGTGCCCCAGGAGCCTAGACAGTGATGTGGCATCCTGAGTCCCAGGCTGCCAGCAGACAGGCTTCAGGCCAGTGGGAAGGGAGGCCAGTCCCATCCAATGGACTTTTTCTTTTCATTTAAACTTTTGTAAAATTATGTGTTCATCATAGAAAACATAGGGCAATACCTGAGAAACCTGCTGTGGTTGTGCACCCCCCACAACAGCCCTGAGAGCGGTTTGGGTTTGTTATTGCCACCTTTTTTTTTCTGGTGGTACGATCTTATAAAGATGTGGCTTACCTGACTGCTGTTTTATCATTCTCTTCTCCACCCAGTATATTGTGAGCATATGCTCAGGTCCTTAAATATTCTTTGCTGGTGGCAGTTTGCAAGGTTGCCTGGCAGCCCAGGATGGAGATGGATGTGTAGACTCTCTTTGTCGGTCAGTGTCTCAGATCTAGCTAAGGGGTTGGTTCCCAGAATTCCTGCTCCCTGGAGGACCCTGAAGCAGGGGTTGCCCTCCTTTTTGTCCCAAGGGGCTTAGAGGTCTATGGGTGTGCACAGGGGCCGGGAAGGCCGTGCACCCACGGGTCACCCAGCTCACAGCATTGCAGGTGACAACAGAAGTACTTTTTGGTTATGTCGGTGTCTGCAACGGCCTAAAGACACCATGACATTGCATTGATTCTTAGGAGATAAAGTTTTGGAAAAGAAATGGAGTGGGGAAAGAGGTGGGAAGCATCAGAATTGCAGGGGCGGGGAGGTATAGTTTTTAAATAAAGATGCTCAGGGAAGGCTTTCATTCTGGTGGCATTTGCACAGACTTAAAAGATACCAGGGTGGTGGAATTCCTTCGGGGAGGAATATTCTGGAAGAGGGGGTGGCACATGCAAAGGCCCCAAGGCAGGATGTACTTGGTAGGTGGATAGCGTGACGTGGAGGCCATGGTGGCTGCTGTGGAATCAAGGCCACAGGAGTAGGGACAGAGCGTCCCCTTGAGGCTGGGCTCAGCAGACGGTGAGTGCTGGGAGCCTAGAGAACAGCAAGAGATCTGTGTAGTGATCAGATGGACAGGGGGAGAGGGACTGTACTAGGTGCCAACAAAATTGGCCAAGGGAGTGGATGGGGGTGGGTTCGACGAGATTCATGGATGCTGCTCACATCTCGGCCCTGAATAGCTGAAGGTGGAGCTGGCAACGGCCCAGGTTTAGGGCCCCCACAACCCACCCAAATGATGTAGGGTGTGCCTTGTCCCAGCTGAGGTGGCAGCTCACCTCCCGCCAGCCACCTGGCTTCCTGAAAGATCAGTCAGCCACTCTGGGCCAATAACACAGTGGAAGATCTGAATTGGGAGTGCATCTCCTCTCCCCGCAGCTGCCTCTCCTGGAAATAAGAGCCTGCCAGGGAGCGAACCCCAGCTTCATGGTTCCAGGACCAGCTTGCCGGCCTTTCTTACGCTGTTTCTGCTGGCAATAGGTAGCTCTGGAGCAACCTGCTGGGGTCCCCTCCCCTGCTTCCTGGGGGACACTATAGGGTGGGGGTGGCCTTGTGTCTTTGACCTCCCACCCAGCTCAGAAATCATGAGCCCCCTCCCCCATAAATAATTGTTCCCAGGTTCTTTGGACAGACCTGGGCATGTCTGCAGGTGGCCTGCGAGCATCTCCGTCCCCAATTAGGTGGCCCTCCTCAGGGGCCCAACCAGGACTCCTCAGGTACCAGCTGGGTCCTCAGCAAACAAGCATGAATTGGCAGTAGTGAGGCGATTACAGCAACCACCTCTTACTGAGCACCAGCTACAGACCTGGCTGCACACCCCAAAAAGTGGGTTCTGTACTCAGAGGGCACCCAGGCTTGGGCCAGGATGAGGGTATGCGGCCCCTCAAAGCTAGGGTACAGACCCAGGCAGCCTTGCTTCTGAGCCAAAACTGGTTTTAAATTCAAATTCATTTTGTTTTTAAATAGGTTACCAGTTGTTGAGGTTTGGAATTCAGAGGGTTCTAAGGCAGGGGTTGGCCAACTAGGGTGGGGACCAGCCCCCACTGACGGCCTGTTGTCCTAAACCAAGTTTTGTTGGTGCACAGCCACGCTCACTTGTACACTTACCGTCTCTGGTGGCTTCCAAGATACGAGGCAGAGTGGCAACATCAAGGCAGAGACCCTGTGGCTCAGAAAAAGCCAAAAATATTTACACTCCGGCCCTTGATAGGAACAGTCTGCTCACTGCTGCTCTAAAGGGTTTGTAGTGTAAATAAAGCAAGCTCCTCCTTACCTTTCCCAACCACTCTGAGGCTGCGACTGTGACCAGTGCTCGCACCCTGCCCCCAGAGATGTCCCTTGCACAGACCCCGTCCCTCCATTTAGTTGCACAAGTAGCAGCGTGTTAAACACACTGCTCTGCACCTGCTGTTTTCACTTAACCAAAACACCTTGCAGATTACTCCTTATCAGAACGCAAAAAGCTTCTTGTCCTTTATTATCTTTTCACAGTTACATAGTATTCCTTTGTGCAGGGTCCTGGAACAGATCTTCACCAGACCACATTGGCAGGCATTAGGTGGTTAATGGTCTTTCTGCTGATCAAAACCATTCTGAGTAGAGTATGATCACGGGCGTTCGTCATCCTGTATGTGTGCGCATGTCTGCACTAATGGGCACGTGCTCACTGGATGCCCCAGAACAGCTGTGCGAGGTGGGGCTGGAGTTATGGCTGGTGTCTTACAGACCTGGAGAAAGCAGGCTAGCCTGAGGGCATGCAGCCTCTCCATGCTGTACCCTCCCTGCCCAGCACAACCCCTTTCCCCTAGCTAAGCAGTCTCAGTCTTCCTGAATAAACACCTGAACCACACAGTGATGAGAAGGCTACTGCTCTGAGAGTTGCCTCAGTGGGGAGGTATTGGGGGCGGGGGTGAGTGGTTAGGGTTCCCTGAACCATAGGCTGTGGTGTGGCCCCCAGAAGGGGCAGTTCCCCTTTACCCTTATCCCTGGTGGCTCCACCTGGGTGGCACTCAGCCTCCTATTTCCTGCTTTCCAGCCTAAAGAGGGCTGTCTGGGCAGTAGAAATGACTATGACAGTGGTCGGCACTCTCACTGGGAACCAGACATGACCCTGACCCCATGTTCATCTTCAGTTCCACAGAATAACGAGAAGCTTCAGGAGAGCCCATGCATCTTCGCGTTGACGCCCAGACAGGTGGAGCTGATCCGGAACTCCAGGTGTGCTGGGGCCCAGCTTCTGCTGACCTTCTTGGCCAGGTGGTGGGTGGGTGTGGGGTCAGACAGCCTAGGAGGGCCTTCGGCCAGATCCAGTGCAGACCCTGCACTTGGCAGTGGCATCCCCACCCCCACTCGGTGCAGGGGGCTATGTGCACAGTCAGCACACTCACCACTTTTGACCTGCAGCCCTCGGAGGTAGACCAGTATTCCCCTTTAACAGGGTTTGTCCCCTTTAGCACTATTGACATCAGGGCTGGCTCATTCTCTGCGGGAGGGCATCCTGGGTGTTGAGCAGTATTCCTGGCCCTCAGCCCCTCAATGCCAGGAGCTCCCCTAGTTGTGACAGCCACAGATGTCCCCAGATGTGGCCAATGTCCCCTAGGGCAGAGTCACCTGGGTGAGGACACTGGGCTGTGCCCAGGTCTCTGACTGTACTCTCTGAGGCTCTCCATCTCCAGCCGAAACAGCAGTTACCACTGGAGCAGCCGCTTGTTGGGGCATTTGGCATGTGCCAGGCCTGCACCTATCAATCCACTTACCACACCAGACCCCCCATTGTCCACAGAGGAGAGGTCATTGACCCAAGTCACCAGTGAGTAAATGGCAGTAGAAAATGTTCTAGGCAGCACCTAGTGGCCTTCACTTGCCAAGGGAGGTAGTGGGTTAGGCCTCCTGGCTGGCCCAGGAGAGACCAGTGGTCACCCTGGCTGAAGTGTCTGTGTGGCATGCTGGGCACACTTTTTCCACCTCACTGACCTCACTTCCTTTCCTTCCCGGTGGTTCCCTTGGTGCACAGAGAACTGCAGCCTGGGGTCAAGGCCGTGCAGGTGGTCCTAAGGTAAGCCCAGGTGTGCCTGGACCCCACAGGGACCCTTGGTCACCTCCTCCCACTGTGGGTGGCTACAGCCCTGCCACATCCCACCCCACGTGCATCACAGCCAGGCCCCCTCCCTCCTGATAGCCCCTCTCAGGTTCCCAGCTAGAGGTGGAGCCTGCTCCTGCCTTTTTGCCGGCTGTCTTTGGCTGTGGACGTACTACATCCATCCCCACTCAGGCCAGACACGGGGTCCCAGAGACCCCCACTTACAGCCCAGCATTGAGATCTCATCAGGCCAGAAATGGTCCTGGTCTGCCCTCCCTGCCCCTCCCAGTGACCCCTCCACTGCCTGTGACTCCATGGTCCCCACTGTCATTACAGAATCTGCTACTCAGACACCAGCGGCCCTCAGGAGGACCAGTACCCGCCCAACATTGCTGTGAAGGTCAACCACAGCTACTGTTCGGTCCCGGTAAGCGGGGTCCCCAGGCAGCCCTGGCTCTGCTTCGGGGGCATGGAGCATGCAGGGAGAAGCAGGGACACAGATCATCTGCAGTGGCTGAACCGCTGTCTGCTCCCAGGGTTACTACCCCTCGAATAAGCCTGGAGTGGAGCCCAAGAGGCCCTGCCGCCCCATCAACCTCACCCACCTCATGTACCTGTCCTCGGCCACCAACCGCATCACCGTCACCTGGGGGAACTATGGCAAGGTGAGTGGGCCAGTGCTGCCTGCTTGCCTGCCCCGCCAGCCCAGCTGCCCCCTCCCCACCTCTGCTCCCCCCTGCCCAGCCCCTGCTGGGCCCTGACACTGGCGCTGCCCATCTGCCCAACCCTGACGCCTCTCCACCCCCTCTGCCCCCAGAGTTACTCAGTGGCCTTGTACTTGGTGCGGCAGCTGACCTCCTCAGAGCTGCTGCAGAGGTTGAAAACCATCGGGGTCAAGCATCCGGAGCTGTGCAAGGCGCTGGGTGAGCACTATGGGGCCTTCCCTGAAGTTACAGGGGTGGTTCCGGCTCCATCACTGCTGACCTTCCTCTTCTGGGAGCTTGTCGTCTGTGGGGGCACACCGATACAGAACCTGGGAGCTTGAGGAGGTCTCTAGAGGATGCTAAAGGCGGGGCCCAGAGGCGAGGGTGGTCGAGGTGTGCTCACAGACCTGAGCATGCTGGGGATCCGAGGAAGGGGGTGCTCAGCATGTGGGGCTTGTTTGGAGCCTCGTAGAGGCAGACCCCAGGCGATGAGTATTCTAGGCAGAGGCTTCTGGCTGCTGTGCAGGGAACAGGGTAGGTGGGGTTAGGGGCACGGAGGGCGGGAGCAGGGAACAGATTCATGATTGGAGGTTCATGGGTAATGGATGACAAAGGTCTGACCAGAAACGGTGAGACTATTCCTTTGTTTGTTTGTTTGTTTGTATTTTTAACAATCAAACAATGGGGGAGGGGAGACATAGAGCATAAAAAAAAAAAGAAAGAAAGAAACCACCACCAAGACTGGCAGACAGAGCCAGTTCTGTCTCTTTCTGCGTTCTTGCACCAGGGGCTATCCAGCTGGTGCTCAGGAATTCTTCTACTTGGCAGCTGTGTGGCCTCGGGCAAGTTGATGGTTCTCTCTGGTCATTGGGAGGCCCTCATGGGGTGACTTTGACTATCTGACCAGTGGGACACTGAGGTGCAGAGTGGCAGAGTTAAGGCTCTTGTGACCTCAGGGCCTTGGTCTGTGTA